ATTAGCCTAGTGAGCCATGGCGCCGGCCATAGACTCACTTTCAAGATAACCCCTGAACTCATTAATTTACTAATCATACGAATGGATTTTAAGGGCAGAACTCTAATTATCTCTTAACAGATTAATCTCTAAATACTGCATAATAATGAAATTTCAACATTAGTTTCCAAGGAGACAAACCATAGCACCTATCACCAAAGAAAAGCAAATTCAACAATGAGATATCATTATAAACCTATTAAAATGGCCAAAATCCAGATCACTGACAGCATGAAGTGTGGCAAGGGTGTGGAGCATCAGGAACTCTCATTACTCTACAGATGTGAAGTTCTACAGCCACTGTGGCACTGTGGATGGCAGTTTGATAGATTCTTACAAAACTACGTATGTTCTTACAATACCATTTCACAGGCATGCTTTTTCATATTCATACAAATAATTTGAAAATTCATGTCTATGTGAAAATCTACATGCAGACTTTTATAGCAGCTGTATTCATAACTGATAAAACTTATTGAAGGGCATTTTGGCTGCCTACAAGTAAGTACATAAACTGTAATATGAACATGCAATGGAATAATATTCATCACTAAAAGGAAAAGAGCTACCAGGCCATGAAATCATGGAGGAATCTTAAATGCATATAATCAAATGGAAGAAAGCAAACTAAAAATGCTGCATGCTAAGTGTTTAAAACAGAATGACATATTGGAAAAAGACAAAATAAGCAACAATAAAACAATCCTTAGATGCCAGAGTGTAAGGGCAAAGGAGGGTGGAATAGATGGAACACAAGATTTTTAGAATAGTGATACTCTAATGGTACATTCATGTCACTATACACTTGTGAAAGCCCATAGAACGCCAACAGTAAGCATGGCCTCAATGTAAACTGAATCTGAATGAAAAGGATTGGTCAATACAGTTTCACACGGTAGAACAAATGGACCACTGATGTGGAATATTAATCATAACAGATGCTGTGCATGGGTTAGGGGAAGTGGATATATAGGAGCCACCTGTACTTTCCTCTCAATTAGCTGTGAACTTAAAACTGCTCTAAAAATAGATGCTTTTAAAGATCGATCAATGCATAATGCTATGAGAAAGATTTTAATACACAAATCATAATCTAAAGCCATTATGTATAAATACCCCTGCAACAAATGGCACTAAAAGGCTAACAGCGAGTTAGCTGGAATGATTAAGTGTCATAGTCCAAAAATAAAGCAACTGCTGAAAAAAAAATCCATTCTTCTACTTACAAACCCAATTCACATAAGCAATATTTGCAACAGTTTCATATTCCCTCAGATGTAAAGGAGACATTAACTCTTCCTTTGAAATACCTGTTTTCTTGCTTTCAACTAGAATCTGCTGTGAAAATAATTTCTATCCATGTACATATGCTGGATATATCAAATTCAAAATGCTAAATGGAAGCTTTGCAACAAACATCACTATTCAAATTCCAATAATATAATCCAGTATTCAAGCTGCTTTAAATGTGGATCTTCAGAGAAATTCTTTACCTTTTCCTTTTAGCTCTGATACATTTTAATGACCTCATGCTTATTTGCATATTGTGTTAGAGAAGCCATAGAAAGTAATTGCAGAGGTGAACTGCAATCATCCGTAACATCAGGTCTTAATTGTCTGATATGACTATTTACTTCATTGAGTCACAAAGATCTTTCAGCTAAACTCTTAACACAGTTATTTTTTCATTGTGTTGCATATAACATTTGAGATTTCAGATCGCTGACATAGGTTGCAAATCTTCCTAATTTGTGTCTGTCAGGATATCACTTTCTTCATTAATATCGTAGACAACTATTCAGCAGTTGATTATATTGTCTTTAAAAAATACAGAATTAAAAAGTGCATTCTGTTATGCATTAGACACATTCAGAGACAATTCTAGGCCTAGCTCTTCTAGGTATTGCCATGGTACTGTATTGCATTTTGTCTGAAATAAGGGTAATATGAGCTATCTGTTAATTTATAAAATGCTGTTTAACGTTTGTAAGCCAACGACTGCTCCCAGTGCCAGCTTGTTTAGAGTTACAGCTGTGTGGATTGATGACTAACCTGTTGTGAGCAGTTAACAAGGCCTGGCTTGGAGGCATCGAAAACCCATTGGCAACTTTCTCCAGCTCTTCACAGCAAAAGATGCTCAATATTTGCTGCAATTATCTCAACCATCTCTAACTCTACCCAATCTTGCCTCGTCTTCTTTCTTTTCTATTTTCTCACTGCAACAAGTTGACTTATTTCAAAATGGAAGCATAGAGTTTTAAAAAAAAAACTTTCTCAATCTCTCCATGCCTAATCTAATATGAATTCGCTACTTTTATATAAGCCTTAGCTTATCCTTTCTTCTCCCTCGGTGTCTGTCCTTCTAGTTTAACCTTTAATGGCATCACATATTTATTATAACTATCCACAGGACTTTAAACTACTATGAGTTGCTTCCTCTTGATATTTCACAGTTGCTTTAGTCTCATTTTTCCAAGAAAAAGGAAGTGAGAGGATATCAATATACAGGTTAAAAAAAAAAGGAATTTATCAAAAGGCATGGCGAATTATAGAGGCCAGTTCAACTACATACCTTCTGCAAAGCTGAGAATCAGGAAATCCTGTAGCGTATCTTGGTCCAAGTACAGCAAGCTCAGAACCAAAGAACTCTCAGTCCGAGGTCAAAGACCCGAGAGCCAGGGAACTTGCCAGGTAAAGTCCGTGGGAACAAAGGCCAAAGAAGATGCGGTCCTGACAGGGACAAAGACTGAATAGCAGCACCATCCAGCTTTGGAGCAAAGATCAAGGAAGTGCCCCTGCTCCAGTTTTTAACTTTAGGATGGTGCACGCCCACATTGGGGGTAGATCTTTTTCCCCCTTAATTCACTGACTCACCTGCCAATCTCCTTTGGAAACGCCTTCACAGATGCACCTGAAGAAGCCCAATAATTTAATTAAAAGTAAAGTAAGACCACATGAGTTTCAATTTCAGGCATAAGGATCTGGGTTCGGTGTTTACTAAAGTATTGAGAACAAATAATTATTTGCAAACTAACAGAGAATCCCTTGGTTAACTTAGCACATAAAATCAAATCTCACAATAGTCATGCAAATCCACCTTCTATTTAGTGATATCTGTGTGTACCCATGTGTCCAAATGAAGATTATCCTTTTATATTTTTTTCCAGAATCAAACTTTGTGTTGAGACATAACATGTGCTTTATAGTAAAATTCATGTACTTGTTTCCATGGTTCACTTCTTGTGCCTATTCATGCTAATTCAGTACAAACTACACACCATCTTTACACCATAGACCGGACCTTATGTCTATACATGGAACTAATCCTCTTACTAGAATTGTTTTCTTTTTCCTTTGCAATTTCATGGACTACCTCATTTTTATAGTTCAAGCTATTGCTCAGGTTGCTCTATTTTGAAAGTTTCCTTTTACTCCCTCATGTAGCATTGTCTGCAGCATTTTACAGTCTCTTCTGAGAATGTTGATTAATGACTATGCTTAAAAGTCTGCATCTGTAAAGGGAAATATATTTCCAGAAATAAGTTTCTATGAGGAGTGCAATGAATATTCATTGTAAAACTGTAAAGTTTCTAGCATGGTTCATGATGTCTGTTTCCAGTGGCAATTATAAAAGTGGAAATAAAATTTGTAAGAGTAACTCAGTTTCTAGAGATTTCTCAAATAGTAACTGATTTAATTAAGGATGGCTTCCTGAAATAGTTGAGGTTGTGCTGGGTCTTGAAAGGAGTTCATAGTATTGTTGAAAAGAAAGTTATGATAAGGTATTGAGTATTCAGTAGTTAAAAAATGTAAATTCATTTTATTTTAGGGGCCATATACTGAAGTTTAAAGCTGTCAAAATCCATGTTTAACCAGTATAAATGAAATTATGGGAGTGGATAAAACCGTTGAAACAGAATTTGTGAATGAAACAGAAGAACCAAGAACAGAATTACATATAAAACCCTAGAAACACAAGACAGGGAGTGAATAGTGTGGGGAGCAATCCGGACTAGACTGAGTTACTGGAATTAAGACTTATTCTATGCATCTGCTCTCCCACAATATGGCGCTGGGAGAGAAGTAAACAGCTTCTGCACAGCTGCCTCCAGTTCAACCAATAAACTGTAGGACTTGCTCCTGATTGGAGGAGAGCAGCGTACTCGGCGTGTGGGCAGCCGAGTTGGGATTGGCAGAGGAGGACTATAAAGGAGGAGAGAGACGGCATGCACCAGGAACATCTAAGGGGAACATCTAAGGGAACACCTGTGCAGCCCCCGAGAAGAGCCGGCCGGCGGTGTGCCGCTCCCCTGCGGAAGTGGGGAATGTGGCTAGGGGGAACTGCCCTTCCACGGAGGTGGAAGGGACAGTAGCCAACCCGGGAAGAACCAGCAGCAAACCCGGGGAGGGCCGAGCAGACGAAAGAACAGCGCAGGGTCCTGTGTCGCTCCTCCACGAAGACAGGGAGCGACAAATAGGAAAAAAAAATTTGAAATGGAACAAAAAACAGTAAGAATTGCAGCAATCCAGTCCATTGGAATATTGTGGAGAACACAATTTCCAGAAAGATACAAGAGAAAAACAGCATGTAAAAGGATACCAAATGGTCAAGGAAAATAAAAGCAAAAAAAACAAAACAAAACAAAACAAATAAACAAACAAAAAAACAAACAACAACAACAAAAAACCACATAGCTTTTGCCAACTGAATACAGGTGACCTTAGGCATAATTCATTAGATAGGGACAATAGAATTGCTAAAGAAATCAGTAGGGCTTGAGGAGTTGGATATGATCTTAGACATTTTGTCTATAACACAGATCATGGGGATATGCCAGCCTGTGAGATGGCAGAGTAAAGTGACAATGGTTCATTTTTAAGATTTGAAATATCTCTTCACTTTTACAGATGGGAAGGGGTGCCATAGTGGCTAAATTAAATGAATTTACTGGCATTGATACCTTGTTTCTTTCACTTTCTGTCTCTTCAGTGATCTTCTAAGATTTTCATTGTTTAGGACTCAGGATTTTTTTTTTCCTTCTTGTTCTTATTTGTTTAACTTCTTGTGTGTCTCTGGAATATGTCATAACTATTTTTGTATTTGGAAATTGTCAGATTTCTTGAATCTCTGCAAATTTAAAAAATGAGCAAACATCAAACACACATATTGTTTATATGAAGCATTTCAATTTAATATTAACAAATGAAGAAGGAAGTGATTGCTAATATCTTAAAGCCAGAACTATCTTTTAGCACATAAATTACATTTTTAAACAGAATCTTTGAGGCTTTTTCTAGCATGTAGGACAGAAAGTCCAGAATTTTCTACCAGACTTGGTGGGTATTCACTTTGTAATTTTGTTAATTTGGAACTTTCTGTAAAACTATTTGAACTCTAGTCCCAATGGATGGACAAATAAAAAAAAAAAGCAAGGTACTCTCTAATCAGTGGAAACAGTTGGTTTGAGTCGCTGAGGCAACATATTATGAAACTGAGTTCAAAATTGCATTACAATGGTATCACTAGAAGAAAGAGTTTTTGTATAAAGTAATATTATTCAACATGAAAGTTTGTGATCTTAGCATGTTTGCATGCTAAGAAAAACAAATTTTATTTTTATGGCCAAGGTAAGACATTCAGAGATTTGATGAAAAGGTGGTTGAAAAGATCTTGACTTCATTGAGCATGTAGTATTGAAATCCGCCTCTGATCAACATCATGAATCCAAAAGAATGAAAAGAATATTGACAGAATCTTTTTTCTAAAAAAAGATTTATTTATTTATTGGAAAAAAAGTTACAGAGAAAGAGAAGAAGAGAAAGAGAGATTTTCCATCTGTTGGTTCACTCCCCAACAGGCCATAATGGCAAGAGCTGGGCTTGTCCGAAGCCAGGAGCTAGAAGCTTCTTCTGGGTCTCCTTCTCAAGTTCAGGGGCCCAAGGACTTGGGCCATCTTCCTCTGCTTTCCCAGGAGCATTGGCAGGGAGCTTGATCAGAAGTGGAGTAGCTGGGACTCAAACTGGAGCCTGCATGGGATGCCTGGGTCATAGTCAGTGTTTACCCATTATGCCACAATGCAGGCCCCACAAATCTCATCTCCTTTGTGAAGCTGATTACTATGTTTAACATGGCTATCTCCAAACTTCCCTGAGACTGCCTGAAGTCTAGCCAAATGTATACCTTCCTCTCTTTTGGCATGGCCAAATATTTAGAGTGACAATAAGTGATGGGCTAGTGACTATGTTTAATTACTTTCAATTACTTTCCAGATACACAATTTGTAAAACCTTTTCAAACAGGGAGACTGTTAAGCTCTTCAGAAATAGAATTTTAAAAGAGATTAGCCTCTGCACCCTGTTCTTGTTCGGGTCTTAATAATGGTGTAGAAGTGATGAGAACAAGCATATTCCTAATGAGACTCAAATAGGTTACAAAAGTTTTAGAGCCTTCTTGTTTGGTGGTTTATATAACTTTGAAACCAGTTAAATTCAAAATACTAATTATAATTTTGCTAAGGAGACTGAAGTTTTCCTTTTTTGCTTCAGTTGAAAATAGAAAATAAGTCTGAAAAAGTTTTAGCAGCATTTGTCAAGTAAGAATGTGAGTAGACATCACACAGGTATGGGGAATCTTTTAACGTACTAATTCTGTTTTGTAGGTTTGGAGAAGGGCCTGAAAGTAATTAGTTCTAATAATCTCTCAGGTGATGTTACTGATACTAGCCTCTGACGTCCTTTGTAAAGCACCAGGCTACTCTCCTTGATTATGAATGACAACAACCTGTGGATATGCAACAACTCACATTTGGAGAAGGGGAAACCATAAAATAAACAGGATAGTAATGTTTGTTTCTACACCTTCCTGCTACCTAGATCTTGCTAGATGGCATCTCTCATATACTATAAGGTAGAGTAATGATGTGAATTTTAGAGACCTATATAAACAAGAAACAGAGAGGCCAACCTTGTGGCACAGAAAGTTAGCTGTCCTTGCAATGCTGGCATCCCATATCAGAGCCTGCCACCCAGGTCAGAGATCAGGTTGGAGTTCCAGGCTCCTGGCTACCACCTGGCCCAGCCCCAGTCATTGTTACCATCTGGAGAGTGAACCAGTGATTAGAAGATCTCTGAAGGCCCTTCTCCCTGCCTCTCTGCCCTTCAAATAAATAAACAGATCTTCTAAAAGAGATAAATTAACACTATGTATCAATTGAATCCAACCAGCACATATTATGACCTTATTTTAAGCCCAGATGGGCACTGAGTATCTAGCGTCCATGCATGTTTTTGCTCTTGCAAAGATAACAGAGAAAAGTACATGTGCGTGGGTGTGTGCATGTGTGTGCACACGTGTGTATGTGTGTATACCTATCACATAGACATGTGATGGAGGTTAAAATAATCGATTAGTGTGTTCCAAGAGTGAGGGTAAAATGTTGAACAGGAAATACTACTCTTATGGAAGTTTGAATTCACTTTTAAGAGGATCAAGCACATTCTTGTCACAAGTTCAAAAAAAAGTGATAGTACACTTTCTCACACAAATTATTTAAAATGTTATGCAATATCAAAACTTGTATGTCCATTGCCATTATTTCTCCTCAAAATAGACTATCACACTTCTCAAAGCAAGCTTTTGTTTTTAAGAAAGAAGATTTAATTATTTGAAATACTGAGAGGAAGAGAGAGAGAGAGAGAAATCTTCCATCCACTGGTGCACTCCCCAAATAGCCACAAAATCTGGGGCTGGGCAGGACAAAGCCAGGAACCTGTAGCTCCATCCAGGCTCCTACGTGGGTGGCAGGGGCCTAAGCACTTGGGTAACCTTTTGCTGCTTTCCCAGGTGCATTAGTAGGAAGCTTGACTGGGAATGGAGCAGGCAAGACTCAAACCAGTACCCCTATGGGATGCTGGTTTCACAGGTAGTGGCTTGATTTGCTGTTTCACAATGCTGGCCCCAAAGCAAACTTTTGAAGTAGACATAGCTATTTTAATTTTTAGATAATAAAATTACAGCTCATAAATTATTCTAGTTATCTGGTAGTGTAAACTTACCCCACATCTTGGTGGTATGAATCAGTTTTTCATACTGTCATTCTACTTCACTGGGTGTCAACTGGGTGATTCTCGATTGGAATCTCCCTTGCAGGTGAAGGCAGATGGTAATTGGGAATGGAGTCACACCGAAGTTTGCTCTTCTGATTGTTGAGGTTCTAAATGCAAACGACGTGTTGGGACTTCAAATAAGTATTGCTTGCTGGAACACACACATCTGGCTCTTCCGTTTGGGCTGGGCTTCCTCAATGTATCGTAATTGGACTTCCATGGTGAACCTCCTGAGAGACAGCTGAGGGGATGCTGTTTTTTCTTTTATAACTTAGCCTTGAAAGCCATTTTGTGTCACTTCTTGCTGCAGTGTAGTCATTAGATACAAATCATCGGGCCCATCCTATAAGCAAAGGGAATATCAAAGAATTTATAGACGTGCATCTGTGGAATCACCTCACATGATAAATAATATTTCCTAAGGATAAAAATATCTCACATAATGAACTGCTTAACATAGGATTTGGTTTCATATGATTAAATATATTTTCCTATTATGTCATATTGTCTTAATTTCATTAAGACCTCTATTATGAGATATACACTAGAATTCAGATTATTCTTCAGTAGTAAGGATAACATAGACTGAAGAAACAAAGACTTCACTGAATGGCAGTTTCTCATGTGATTTTTTTCACAGGCTTTGTGGAAACTGTCACAAAGATTTTCCAACATTCTTATGCCCATTCTTTTATTTGCTTCAGTATACTCAACTCCTTTCAGCACAAGAGAGCATATCCTTTATCAGTACCTAGTCAGGAAATAGAATGCTGTTGCTTATCCCTTCAGGAGTTTTCTTTTATTGTTTAATATTCCAAAAAGCATCACGAAATTCTCAACATCAACATCTCCAAATGGCCTTGTTAACTCAAAATCATGACTTGATAGCAGGCTAAGAATGGACTTATTTCTTTTTTTTTTTTTTTTTTTTTTTTTTTTTTTTTTTTTTTGACAGGCAGAGTGGACAGTGAGAGAGAGAGACAGAGAGAAAGGTCTTCCTTTTTCCGTTGGTTCACCCTCCAATGGCCACTGTGGCCGGCGTACCACGCTGATCCGAAGCCAGGAGCAGGTGCTTCTCCTGGTCTCCCATGGGGTACAGGGCCCAAGTACTCTGACCATCCTCCACTGCACTCCCTTGCCACAGCAGAGAGCTGGCCTGGAAGAGGGGCAACCGGGACAGAATCCAGCGCCCCGACTGGGACTAGAACCCGGTGTGCCAGCGCCGCAAGGCGGAGGATTAGCCTAGTGAGCCACGGCACCGGCCTGGACTTATTTCTATTTAACCAAATCTCAGGATACCTAGCTATAGAATCTTCAAGAAGAAAATATGTTTATGGTTCAACACCCAAATCACTGTATTCCCTTAGGCAAAATATATGGAAGAAACAAATGATGACTTTGGAAAATGTATATGAGATTCTGATAAGGAAATCTAGTTATGATTTTAAGATGTTTATTGTTATTAGTCTTCACCACAGGGAGATTTCTGCCACTGGCACCATGTGAGACACGTTCTTTTTCTGAATCATACTCTAAATTGGATAGCATTTAGTTCATAACACAAGCATTTTCCCTTAAAATTTCTGTTATGGAGTGTGTTTTTTGTCCCTCCTATTATCCCTATGTTGAAATCCTAACATAAGTTGAATGGTATTAGAAAGTGGAGCCTCAGGAGATACATTGGGGCACGAGGGTTGAACTCTTATAAATGGGATTAGTATCCTTATAAAAGATATCTAAGATAAATTTCAAGCCCTTTTTCTGCAACCTGAAAGAGGACTTTCATCAGTACCTGACCATATTGGCATTCCTGATCTCAGACTTCCAGTCCCCAGAACTGAAAAAAACAATTTTTATTGTTTCTTAGTCACCCAGTCTAGAAACTAAAACATTATCTCTTCATTTATTTGGCTTCTGTTTATGATCAAGCTACTTCTTACTAACGCAGTCTTTACTCTTTTAGATATATTAATAATTTCAACCACTTCCTGTAAAAGTGTACTTAAAAGTTGCCCCCATTACCTATAAGATAATGTACTCACTCCATATTCCCATCCATTCTGTTTCTAGAAAGTTTACCTTGCCTACAAATTCTTGGATAAATCTCTTCCCAATTCCATTAATGACAAAAATATATAATGACTGTGAACTTGGGATTTAAATAAAAATAAGGAAAGTAATATCATTATCATTACTCCATAAAGGAGGAAATCGAAAAATTGAGATTGTCAGAAGCTTACCTAAAATTCCACATTTTGTAAAGAACAAAGCTTGATCTAGAAGCTCAGTGTGGCATGACAATGAAATTGGATTTCATCCTGTAGAATGTGGGAATGACAGTTGAGTTTTCGTTTTACAGAGATCATTGTGGGAGCTATTTGGAGAATGGTATGAAATACAGGGGGGCAAGAGCCAAAGCAGCAAGTTGGGCAGATTTTGAAGTAATCCACGTAGAAAATAATAAGGCAGGAACAAATGTCCTGACAGTGGATTGGGTAGATGGATTCACATTCTGTGTAAACTAGGGGGTTGGTTTAGGTAGGCTAAGTAACTGGGCACAGGATCACAAGGTTTGTGATGCAAAGGCATAAAGGATATTGTAGGCAATTAGCTGAATACTGACAGCCTGTATTGTCATGAGTGTCTAAAGAAGAAGACCAAACATTGTGCTGGATGGCATGAAGCTTATAATCTGACTTCTTAGAAGTAATACAGGATTTTATTAGTTTTGAGCTATAATTAAGTGTAGTGATACCCTACTGAACCAAGGAAGCCCTTTACCCAATGCCCCCCAGGTTCTGTTTACATCATGTTGATATTTGTGTTGGCTTTCTTGAATTCTGTAGTGGGATTCTCTCAATACCATGCTTTGATTTCTGTCAGAGAATAACTTTTTATCTTTGTGCAATTATGCTTTGCAATCAGAAAGGCCACTAATAATATATACATCCCAAGAAAACTATTGCAGATATAAAGTACTCTCCAATAAGGAATAATTTGAATTTGTATATGTCTCATCTGTTAAGAGCATATAATCAAACTATTTTGTCCTGTCAGAAGCTAATGAAATTTGCAAAATTACCTAACTTCATTTCCCCTAGATTTACTTATCTGTATTACTGAGCATAAGTAATAAAACACATTTAATAGAATTTTATAAAAGTTAACCAAATCAATATCTATAAGATTAAAATGTTATTTATCACAAAGATATAAATGATTACTGTTATGATCCTTTTAAGTTGTGCTGTGTATTCTTTCCATTTTTAAAATATTCACTTACTCCTCATGTAGGATCTTTGTCCTTAGTGTGCTGTACATTGAGATTTAATGCTATAACTAGTACTCAAACAGTATTTTTCACTTTATGTTTCTGTGTGGGAGCAAACTGTTGAAATCTTTACTTAATGTATGCTAAACTGATCTTCTGTATATAAAGAGAAAGGAAAATGAATCTTGATGTGAATGGAAGGGGAAAGGGAGTGGGAAAGGGGAGGGTTGCAGGTGGGAGGGACGTTATGGGCGGGAAGCCATTGTAATCCATAAGCTGTACTTTGGAAATTTATATTCATTAAATAAAAGTTTGAAAGCAAAAAAAAAAAATTAACATCAAAATTAACCAAAACCCATGTTTTACTCAGATTACTTTATCTCCCTAATGTATATTATAGAATCTCATTTATGATATTCTATTACATCTTGTTGTAATTTTCCATTATTATTCCAATATATTTAATTTTTCGGTATCAATTCTTGCTTTTTCCATATGCAGTAGCACAAATCTGTTGAAGGTGTCTTAGCACATCATTCATTGTTAGCAAACTGTATACTCCACATTTCCTTCCACACTTTATAATCCTAAGTTTATCCTGCATTTTTAAGTAATTGGTGATTTGAAAAAGCCCACATTATTTGCTCAGTTGCATGCTAAAGGATTCTTCCCAGAGCTTCTTCTCAGGATGAATTTTCTTATGAGAACTCCTCAGTTGACATTTTTACAATGACTTAACTATTGGTAGCTTCCCCTTCTGCCATTAATTACAATTATATAGTTTCTTACCTTTCCACATTTTTGGGGGTCTATAAAGATGTGAGTTGTGGCTGAAGACATTTCTACAGATAATGCAGAAATGGCATTTAACCACATGTGTGTTCTCTGGCATTGTTAATGGGGGAAACCCAGCTGATGGCTCTTCGACATTCACTACCTAACTGGGTTTCTTTCCAATACTAGTTGTCTGGTGTTCACAGTAAGATTTTGTTGATAATGTCTTGGACCAGACTCACTCCTTACATGTTTTTTCTCTGGTGTGAATTATGTCATGTTTTCTACAGTTCGAGCATACCTCAAAGGGCTTCATACAATGATGACATAAATGAGGTTTCTTTCCATTATGCATTTACTTATGTTACTTGAAGGATGAACACTCCTTCGGAGCCTGCATTGAAGGCTCTTCTACATGACTTCCAATGTAGGTCTCCTCCATTTGAGTTCCGTGATGTGAACAACTCTATACACTCTGACTAAAGTGTTTCCCATAGTAATTATATTTAGAGGGTCTTTCCCAGTCTGATTATCTGAAACTGAGAAAACCAGGATCTGTGAATGAAAATTTCCCTGCAGCTATTATGTTTCAAAGGCCTCCTCTCTCATAAGAAATCTGTGCTCTGGGAAAGGTGATGACAGACTGTTAGATATATGCTCACATGCATTCATTCTTTACTCATTCATGTTCTCAGGAATTCTTGGCGGATCATTCAGTATGCAAACTTAAAACTGGTGGTTACAATTTCATTGTGAGAGTTTCTCTTTTGCAGCATCTCAAAGCAGACCTATCTCAGAGTTTCTGAAAATCTTTATGTGATTTAAACATTAAATATGTGAGTACAAGTTTCATAAACGTCTTTCGATAAGAACTCAGGTAAAATCTTTGAACTCAGGGTACATTTTTCCCTAAATTTAAACAATACAAGACTTCCTTCTGAGAGTGCTGTTTCCCATGCATCTGTTAGAAACATTTGAGCATAGAGAATTTCTAACACATTCAATTCCCAAATCTCTAATGTGATAATCAAATATCACTACCATAATATTGGCCATTGACACACAGTTAGGTGGAATCATCTTATCCTGCATGGATATTGCTTTACATTTTTCAAGACTGCTTTTCCCATAATGCACAGCTATCTGATGACCTTTATAATTGCATAAATGTAATCTTTGCTGCTGCTAAGATTTTTTTAAACTATTTTTAAAGACTTTATTTATTTGAGAGGTAGAGTTACAGAGAGTGAAAGGGAGAGACAGAGAGAAAGGTCTTCCTTCCATTGGTTCACTCTCCA